TAGCCCAGATGAAAGAAATTGAAATTGCCTAAAGTAAATTAAGAATAAAAAAAAAGATGCCTCATCAACAACTACAGCAAATCAAAAACGGGCTTTGAATTCCCCTTTCTGACTCCAGCCCATCGACCGTCTGAATCCCCTTCTTCACCCCGTCCATCGAGCGTCTAAAAAATTATTTTATTAGAATAGAGAGGATTTTGCAAAAATTCAAGATATCTTTGGGAGGAATTTGGCACTTGAGATGATGCTGACGGCTTTTACCTATCAGCGTGATAGCATGCTAATAGTTTCGGAGCACGAAAGAAAAGGTCTAAACAATGATCAACCTTCCACGTGTAACTATACAATGGGAAGAAGAGCGAGCATACCTCATAAAATAATTGGTTAAGCGAAACGTTTCATCAGAATAAGAATGAAGGGCTAATGTCAGCGAATGTCACTCTAATTGCGGAAGTGATGTTATTGTAATATCAGATTTCTATGTACCTTTATTCGGCGAGCAAAATATTTTAAGGTCCCTCTGTATTTAGTGCTGCATTGTGCATGCGACCTAAGCGTGATTAAGTTGCAGCAGCTAAGGTCGTTTTAAGTGCATCTTCATTGCTTAAAAAGCTGCTGAAGTGGAGAAAAAATTTTACTTTCTCTTTTTCCAACATCTATCATGCGCCCTCAAAATTTTGATATCAGATTCATAACTAACTGTCTTACATATATATTTATTAACACACAATGGAAAAATGTAAGGCCTTTGAAAAATAGGCTGACATTTTTGTCAATACCTATTCATTCCCATCCTTTCTGCAAGCATAAGAGTGCAGAAAGTGAAATGGGATAGGTCTTAGAGGGATAGGTCGGAGAGTGCATAAATGTCAGAGAGTGAAAGAAAATTTGAATGATTCACCGTGATTGCAATTTGATCTGCGGATTACTGCTTCTCAAGTAATTGGCTGTTATCCATCTTTGATTGTTGAAAGTTCCCAAGATTTAGATCTTCGCAGATTATGCCCGCCGCCTGTCTTCCTGCATCTCATCCCGACACTTAATTCTTTCTCTTCCGTATTTCTCCCTATACCATCGTTCGCAATTGGATAGCGTTTAAAAAACCGATCATATGCACGCACACACAAGGCTTTTTCGAAAAAGAGAATTTCTGTTTGGCGAAAAAATTTCAATTGAATTTAGTTTAAGGAGACTTGATTTTGGTTATAATTCTGCGTGTACGAGAAGCCTTGCAAAATCGAAGAATGAAACTGAAACAGCTTCTTGGCTGGCCTTGCGCAGATAAAACGTTTTTATTTCCTTATTTTTGCAAATGTAGCCGTATTGCTGCACTGTATTCAAACCAGTCTTACATCACTGCATGTAGATTCTTTTTTGAAACTCCGGATGTTGGTGTGACCAGATATCAACCCCTTCGATTCAAATTTTACTCTATTTTTTCTCCTCCTTCTTTACTTCTTTCCTTTACTTTCTCATTTTCTCTTGGGGTCATGTGGTGAAATGATTTTATTTCTATCAGCCGGCAATCTCTTTTATCCTTAGATTTTGCCTAATCTGCTGAAAGAATTTTAGAAAATTATTCAAATTTAGCAATGCAACTGCTTTTTGGTGTATTTGACTTTGCAAATCTATTTGTACTAAGTTTTCTTAAGTTTATGTGAACTTTTGCTCAATTTGATTAATTTTTGTCCAATTTGATGAGGTTTTCTCAAAATTGAAAACGTTGGTTCTTCGGCGAAGGGTCAAGCTGAAATCTTCATATCAATTAACTTTTCAAAATTTTTGTCATTTTGCGTATTCTAGTCAGACCTTGTCCATGTTACTAATCAACTTCATCAAGGCTTGCACAAAAGATCAAATGTTTGTAACTTATAGTCTCTATTTTGTCAAGGATGCCTCCAATTATAAGGTAAATAAGTGAGCAAGCCTAAACGAATGTTCATCAAAATTTGTTAAAAATCAGCCTTTTTAAAATTTCGCAATTCTGAATTAATTGGTTGCCCAGTTTCCGCGTTTTTTACCAAACGCACAGGTACTACCGTTATAACGTGCTGGACAAGATTATAAAATTGTGTGATATTTTGATAGAAAACTGTAAAATTTGATCGCTTCTATTCACCTCCATAAAATATATCATGTTCTTCAAACTGTTGCGAGTCTACATAAAATTCCTAAAATGTTGAACGAAATTTACATTGGGGTAAATTGAATTTCCTCTCTACACAACTTACTGAATTAACAAACATTACTAGACTTGCTTTTTTTCTTCCTTTTTTTAAAAAAAAAACGCCGGCAACCTCCAAATTAATCAACTGTACTTAATACTTGTTAAATCGGATCACATTTTGACAAACTTTTTACCTTGAGATTTTCATTTTCTTTACCTTTGTTCATAACCTCTCCGACAATAATGTTACACTCTACGACTTTTTACCTCATGTGTTCATTTTCATCCCTCTATTTAAAAAAAACCTTGTCATAACTATTTTTTTAATATGGCACCCGAAAAAGACACACTAACCGGAGCTTCAGTCAAGTATTAATTCTCAAAATTGAAAAGACGATAAATTGAACACTCCAATTTTATTGCGGATCTAACAAAAAATATCATCAGAACTGTCTTTCTGAAGGAAAGTATGACACCTGGAACATAAATCTCAACGATATGAGCACATATTTTAGTTATTTTTCCTAAAAGCTTGCGAAGAAGATTTTTTCTCCCGCAAAGAGAGTACGTGTTGGAGTAAAAAGCGAAACTATCTAAATTAAAAAAGTAATCACGCCAAAAAGGAAAGTATACGATTCTCCATCTCGGTGTCGCCGAAAAACCACGCTCAGACAAAGAACTTTCCGCTACATGAATTAAAACGTTTTATACTTTTGAGAATGTGCGACCTCGGACTTTTCGTTTAAAACGTTATAGAAACGAGACGCGATGCTCAATTGAAGATGTGACCTTAGCACTCTTTGACTCTCTTTTAAATAAATTTGGAACTTATAATGAAACAAAACAAAATCGAAGTTCGAAAACCCTTCCTGGCTACAAATAAATACGTCAAGTTATTTTATCCTCATGAATGTTTCCATACATTTTTTGATGTAATCATCAATATTTTGAGTGAATTGACCTATCAAAGCATAATTATTTAACGTCAAATAAATCTAGCGTCTTCATTGCAACGTCTTTTAAATTCTGCGTTCCCTTGCACGAAAGGGAAATTTAAAGTGAGAGTTTTTTGTTATTTCTAATAAGAATGTGAACGGGATTGTATTAATATGTTTACGATTTCAAACTAACTGGTGTTCGTGCATTAGAAAAAAAACACGGAAAAAAGTTTCCAACGGTGGAGTCCAAGCTGAATGATTTCTTAACTCCGCAATCAATTAGCTCTGATAGTTCTCTCACCTGGGTAATAGTTTGTTAGGCTGATCAGTTTAAGTAATGTTGTCTATTTATTTCTAAGTACCACTTTTTTTTTAACTTGAAAAATAACTGTAACATTGCGAATTTTCCTTAATCATTTACATCATTGCTTTCCGCAAATGAAGAGACTAATTTTTTTACTATGCATCAAATATGATATGGATACTTAATATGCAAGGATAACGTATGTTAAGAAGAAAATTAAATTAAATTAATGAACTTTTAATGACTTTTACTCCCGAAAGTCAAAGTAGAAGACGAGAAAATAGAGGAAAGGGAAGTAATTCCGTAAATTTTTTGAATTTATATCCTCATGTCGAACCAATATTTTTACAAGTATCAACAAATTGGCGATAAAATTTAAAAAATATGAAATGAAACTTGAACAAATTTCAAGAAAAATGAATCCTTTATAAAGATTACTTTCAAAAAAAAACTCGATTCAAATCGGACTCAACAGACATCGTGAAGTTATCCTTGATATAACAATCAACTATTTTATTATATAGACGCGCGTCAAATCCATAATCGGTTCGATTGATGTCACAATCCATTGATCCCCGACAGTGTCAACCGCTTGTTTGCATAATAGCCCGCTGGTCCAAGCGGAACACCTATTGATATTCATTATTCAAATATTCGAGGAACAGGTGACATGAAGCACGACCTCAGATAATCTATGACATCATATTCGGACAAAATATGATTTTCCGATACTCACGCTTTTCTTACTCCCCCGAGATGAGGGTGCAATCGACCGAGGTTAAAATGAAATGACCGCCCACGCCACGCGACTTTTCCTTTAACTTATGGAATTCACAAAAAAGAAAATACCCTGGACCATTCTCATAATTCAAGCCAGCAAGTAGTTAAAAAAGTCGACCTTTACATCTGCTTGCAGGAGACGTCTTTTACCCTTTTCAAACTGCGTATACCTGTATTATTGCGTTTTAGAAAAAAACTTGCATTGAATTTTTGGCACGCAGTAAATCACAAAAATACATTTTTTAATTTTGAAATTTAATCTTATGAATTTATTGTTAAAACTTGAAAATTGGCGAAATATCTTTAATTTTTACTCATTGAATTTTTAAAAAACCTGCTCCTACAGACCCACTTTACTCAGCAAATTATCACGAGGCATTAATTAAAATTTTTTGAAGGGGATAGGATCGAATACATTTGTTTTCTCACTTATTTCAAGTGTATATCCGCTTGATAGATATAAAACATTTACTTGCCAAAAGTCTAAAAAAGGTTTTTTTTTGTTTTTTGTTTTTTTTTTAAAAAAAAAAATTAATTTGAAATGGCTAGGCGTATTAAATAAATTGCACTTATGTTATTCAAATGATGGCGATGACTTGAATCCTTTTTTCCTGGAGTCATTCCGCAACGATGAAATAAATCCAATCGCATTATATCCAGCTTGAATATTCCAGTAAATTTCACGGGTAAAAATCCACATTTAGACGGCAAACAACACACTTTAACGAGTAAACCAAGTTCAATATCAGTAGACATCCATTTGAAAAAAAAGTGTTGGGAAAAGTGAAATGAACTTGGAAAGTAACTATACCGTATATCTGACACACAGACACAGCATTTTCACGAGGTTTTCTTAGGGGTGAGTCGAAAAGAATTAGCACTGAACACCGAGAGTCCGAAACATCACACCGAAATCCGATCGACCGGGGCGAAACGTTGTTTCCGGCGGAAACGGATGCACTGGTCTAGGCGGAAGAATCCGAAACTGCGAATCGAGCTATCTGAACAGTGAAGCAAGTTCTGTTCTAGCGGCGCGCTCAAAAGTTGCCATAATCGTGAACGTGAGGAAGCTATTGGAAGCCTATGACCTTGTTCTTTGAGTTTTATACGGCGGTCATGGTGGGGGTGCATCTTCTATGCACCAAGAGTCGCTGCAATTCGCGGCATTTCAGTTCGTTTTGCGAACCTTTTCACTCCTTCTTCCTTTTTGCTTCTTTTCATGGCCGGGTTTTCTTTCTCGGTATTTAGGTTTACTTTTTACTTTATTCCAAGAACTGAATAAAACATTACATTTATCTACAAAAATAAAATTCTTAATCCTCATTAAAAGATGAATTGTCTGCTTTTGTAAATGATGAAAATTGATATATTTACAAAGGTCGATTTTTACGATATTGTTGTTATAATGCATCGTGAACCCTGGCCAGGAGCATTATATTCCTGATCGAAGTTTATTATTTTATTCTTTTAGAAATCAATCCAAATAAGGAGTAGGTTGACTTATTTCTCAAAGTTGTAGTAAGCTATTCATACATTTATAGTATTTTGTTCGGATTGCTCATGTCTTATTTATCAAAAAGACTTTTTAGACAGTTCGTAGGATGAATCTCAAATCTCACGAGTATGCACCAACGAATCGTATTGTGAATTATAATCATAATGAACTAAAGATATTTTCTGTTTCTTTGCAATTTACTGTTGAATACTTTTTCAGGCTTTGAAAATTCATGCGTAGAGATAACTGTAAATCAGTAAAGTTGGGCCAAGTTGTTCATGTTTATGAGTCGAGTGAGTAACTGCGGTACCCTGAAGAGACTTGAACGCGGAAAAGAAAAGTAAGCTAATTTTTTCAGTATGTTTTATTTTAACATGCAGGACGTATCGATTCTTTTGTAAGACAGATATGCTAAATATAAAAGCATTACAGATACGAGTGCACGTGAAAGTCATAAATTTCGTTTGTCTGGAAATATCGCAGGATTTAATTTTTAAAATTTTGAAGAGGAGTTGAAAGGTTTCAGAATGATATGATACTGTCAGGTACAAATATTTCAATAATACATTTCCGCCCACTTGTGCTGTAAAAACACAAATCAATAAATTATGAAAATTTAAGCCATAAATATTGAAAAAGAAACCAAAGCAGCTACTATAACCTACTCAAAGATTGATCTCTGCAACGCGACATTAATGAAGGAACTAAGCGGAATTCTCTCCAAAAACGGATTTTTTTTTCCTGTCATTTTAAAGTCTTACTTGTTTTTCGATCTAGGGAAATTGCATCAAATTGTTCACGGAGTAAGAAGGATGGTTTCTCTGAAAATGTTCAAAATGAATTTCAGGTCCCACCTACTTTTCTAGTCTTAAAAATTTTGTGGTAAAAAATGCCTCCGTCCTGATAACAATGCTCCATTGTTATCGGAACTGAAACAATCGTAACCGCAAAGTAACATTGTAATTATGACCAGAAAATGGTATACGATATCGAATCAACTTTAAACATTGTAAGAGCAACGAGTCTTCTTTCTCCGTGTGAGTCCATCTATTCTTCCGTGCTAGGGAAGAACGCCGTATGAGACTTCAGGCGTTGCCAAATTTCCCCTCAGAAATACCTCTTATGGAAGAAAGTTATGAATATTTCTCCTTAAAATTTTCTCAAATTTTAGATCAAATTGTGAACAAAATTCTCTGAAAAATCGGAAGAAAAATATTTAAAATTTTTTCCGAAAATTCGCGACTTGGCAGAGGAAATTTGGCAACGTCTGAAGGCGCATACGGCGTTCTTCCATGCTCCTCACAGCAGCATTAATCTCTCTTAATTATTTTTCTATGCTTGTTTTGCACTATTAATAGTTTTAATAATTCCCCTCGAAAAAAAATAATGATGAGACAGGGAAGATCGAATAAATATGTGTATAGTCTCCATTCTAAGAATAGAATTGAACAAGTAAGTTGTTCAATCCATGTCTGGCGGTAGCCTGAGAGCGAGTTCGTTACGTCTCGGGTGACAGGTTGTTACATTGATTCATAACTCAGTAACTGGTGCAGTTGGTGATCCGCGTTTGTAACCACATCAACGATCTGACAGCACCATGTCATCGGGAACTTCCAGTCACCGTTTTGCGGCTTATATAGACGTCCACGTTTGATTGATTCGTAAGCATGTTACGCCCTCGGCGAATATTCAAATCGGATATTATGTCAAATCAAGAGAGAGGTAGTCAGTCATCATCGCTTCGATTGCACTTCTAAGTTTTTACCAGTTTTAAAGCAGGAAGTTATTCACGGGTACATTCAATCGGGACGTGCGAAAACCGCTAACGTCCATTTTTCCAGTCTTTGGTTTTTTGAGTTGATAATACTTTTTGGAGTTGGATGCAAACACGTAAGTGGCGTTAATACCCGTCTCTGGGTTACCTTAATCCCTATACGAGTCCTTTCATCACTTTTATGGTTGTATCAACTCTTTAAAAGTATATTAACTCAGAAATACGGAAGACTGAAAAATGGACATTAGCGGTTTTTGGACGTCCCGATTCAATTGGACCGCGTTAAGCAGAAAAAAACCAAGCTACATCAACTGTTGCCAAAAACTGGGCAATTTTATATTTTTACATGAAAACTGTTATTGGTGCAAATTTCAGTGAATTTGTCGCACAGTGCGAGGCAACTTATTGAAAATGTTTAAAATAATCCGCGCAAATGCTCTTTTGAAAAAAATTAAAATGTCCGGTCAAAATTGGCAATAGCTGATGAGGCTTGGTTCCTTTCTGCTGAGCACGGTTCAAATACTATGTAAAATGTTGCGTCATTATTTGATATTTTTAAGGCTTTTCAGAACTCTAATAAACATTCATTTCCAAATTTCTGAGTGTTTTACAGAATACCAGATACTCAAGAGTGAGAGCGAAAATTTCATGAAAATGGTTTGACTTATGAAAATTTAAAAAAATAAATAAATAAAATTAGAAGTTATGTCAATTTTTCCTAAAAAAAAAATTTGAACGCTCTTTTTCAAAAACACACACAATCAAGGAAGTCTTCCCGGTTTGATTATCTACCCAACATTTATTGAATTGTTTGATTTTCCCATTTGCCTTCGACATTTCTAGAAATAGGTGTTCTAATATCCAAACTTCTATTTACATTGCAAAAGATAAGTGTGAATAGTGTCTAAATTAGTTCGAGTTAGGCCCTGGTAAAAATTGGCAGTAAAATCTGTATTCTAAAATACCATAGACCTACGGCCGGCTGTAAGATTTCCAATAGCTTCTATAGCCGACTACACAATTTCTTACAGCCTTTTATAGCCGATGGCGATTAAGCAACTCACAGCCAGGCGATAAAGTGTATGCTAAACGTCACTAATTACGGATGCTAGGACTTTGTGAGTTATTGGACCACTGCTCTCTTTTTGGGCCGTAGTATCTTGATTTATTTTGAGAGGAAAGCTCCGTACTTTTGATGGATGCCTGCCATTCCTAATATATTAGAGCGCCTTCAGTTCCGTATGATACTGTGCAATACCTCTGGTGTGAAATAGTTGCTTCAAGCGCCGTGGCACGCTGCGGTGCGGCAGGCGGGCAGCCAGCGCGAAACGCGCATCGGCGCCTACAAACCTAACAGGGATACTTCACGCGTTGCGCAATGCGTGAAGTATCCCTGTTAGGTTTGTAGGCGCCAGTGCGTCGCCACTCCGCTTTGTGTTAGGCTCTAATATTTAATCTGGCGGAGTCAGCGTTATTCAACTCATGATTTTGAAATGTTTGCACATCCTGTATGGATTATTCTCGTTTTAATTGATGGAAAAAAAATATGTATTAAAGGAAAATATAATGTGTGTTTTGTAAATAATAAGGTGGTTCCGTATCAAACTTAATGATTTCCACATGCAGCACACGAATTTCTACACAATTTCTTATAGCCTTTTATAATCGATGGCGAAAAAGCAACAGCCAGGCGATAAAATGTAAAGCCCGGCTATAGGAACTATTGCCCGGCTGCATAATTTTTTATCGCTTCGTATAGCCCGGCCGTATGATTTTCTCCGCATTCTACAGCCAGCTATATGATTTTCTGTAGCCTTCTTTAGCCGGCTATAAGAGTTCCCATGGTATTTTGAAACGCAGCTCTTATCGCCAATTTTTACCAGAGGGATCAATAATTATACGCACTGAAAAAAAGATCAAGTTCTGAACGCCTCAATGATGGGTACTTTATACAATGCTATCGGTTCCGAGCTTAAGGACCGAATTTTTTAGGTATAAGGATCGTAGCTTTAACTCTTCCGGATTTAGAGGCTACGTGAAGGTTGATGTTACAAGAGCCAAAAACTAGGTACAATTTGGCAAGCCTCTGCAGATTTTCTGCACAGACCTTTAAGCACAAATGGTGTGAGATAAAACTATAAGAAAAAGTACAAACATTTAAAATTTTTCAGACTTGAAACCGAATTAAGTGCAGAGGCAGACACGAGACTCAAAGTAGCGAGCTTCGTGTGGTCATCTCATCGCCACGCAAAAGTAACCTCAAAAATCCGGAGCCTCGGCCCATTATAGCTAAAATAGTGAGGAGCTCTTCTACGAATACCTCGAACTGGTTTGTTCTCTTGAGGTCAAGTTTTAATGATCGGGACACGAATGACACTCTGTCTTTTCACGGTAAAACTTTCGGTTTCCAAACCAGGATCGCGCAAATTTAAGTTCCTGCTCATGAAGGGCTAGACACCTCTTCTACCGTTCCTCCCATTTTGAAACTTACGCAGAGTCCGTCTTCGGTTTAAACGGCTCAGCTGACAAATTAAGAGAAGAATGAGAAACTTGTTCCTTTCTCGACTCGGCGGAGCTAATAGTATGGAGGCTCTCAAAAGATTTTATCTCCCAACAATGACCGCACCTCGTTTAGTAATATAGATTGATGATAGATGAGCTAGAGGTGCATAATTTATTGATACGCCTTTTAGAGCCATAAAATTATGTTTAATCTTTTTATAAGTCTTCGGATGACAGGTTGCTGCCAGTAGTATTTTAAACGATGCGCTGACAATTTCATTGTTCTC